GTACATCGTAAAACAAAGCAAAAATAATTCGCGGATTTTCACAAAAAAATTATACTTAGTTTAATCCGTCCCAGCTACATATTCTTATTGCATGCAATGGTTGCAAGTATAAGGCATTATACTAGAATACACGTAAATATAAATATTAAACATTGAAAAATTAAACATAATATGAAACCAGAGGAGGCTGAAGAGGAAATTTAGGGGACGTGTCTCTCGACCCCTCCCCCTGGAAAAAGGGGAGAGAGGGCAGCTTCAATCACCTTTATTTGAAACTTTAAGAATGGATGAAATGGAATTAAAAACGACCAAAACCCCTTCAATAAAATTTTAGGGAGATCGAGAACNTTCGCACCATAATTTAATTCACCTTTTCGCCACACAATGCTTTTTGTAACTTATTTTTTTTTCTATGGCCCAAATATTCTCAATTATTGGCCGGACATTTTAAAACACATTGTCAGGTGTAAACCAAACTTTGATTGAAACTATTGCTGCCAACATAAAAAATAAATTAAGATTTTTCTTATATTTATATTTCTGTTTAAAATTAAACTGTTTACATAATTCTTTTGTTTTGAAATTTCTTCAACATTTAATTTTCCTGGTATTATGTATTACTTCATTTCTCTAATTTTCCTGCTTGTCATTCTGTCATTGGCATTGAGTTTATTGTATAACACACGTTGTAATACATGGTTCCCATGACATTTAAAGAAAATCCGCAAAATTGGGTAGAATTATATACATATTTTGTGTGTACATACACTGAGTGTCTTCATTACAAGTCTTAGTGTAATCTTATACACGATGCATTATTAACAAAGAGAATGGAATATATATTAGAGTGGAATTTACTAGAAAAAAGTGTAAAACGGCCATTTTGTTGTACTGTTTCCATACTGCAGGTGTACTTCACGTCATCTAAAATTAATATTAAAAGAAAACCAAATTATAAAATAGGCTGGTTTCATAATTGACCAATGATCATTTCACATAGACTCTATGCATTTCACCTTACAAACGATGATTTCCGTTATAACTTTAAATCAAATGATGTTTTTCATTAACCTAATTCATTTTATAAAGTTTATTTAACAGTTTTAAGAATTCGAAATTGAAATGGATAGTCTAGGGAACATACTGTATTAATGTACTCTACTGCATATAATTTGTGAACATTTAAATGAATTGTACACTTTGAACTCCTGTTCAGGCTGAAAGGGACTGACAAAATTCATACCGAGGGATTGTCTAAATTCCACTCTAATATATATTCTATTCTCTTTGAATATTAACTAGCTATTTTTTTACTAATTGTATTTAAACGTATTATGTTATGCACAAACATCAATACCGATGGGCACGGGCAAGGGTAAAATAAAGGTGACTATAGTGCAATGGTCGGCGTTTATACAATATAAAAAAGTTTTGATTTCTAAGAAGTTTTTTTCTTTGTTTCCATGTTTATGTGCATCAATGCTGCTCGAAAGCTTGGTAGAAATAAAAAATTTTAATCGAAATTGGTTTTCAAGGTATTAATATATATAACGAAGACAACAAAAGAGCAAAAATAATACGCTTTCTGCGAATTTTGCCCCATTTGGATATTTAGGTTAAATTGTGAATATATGCGCCTGGTTGATTCAAACTCAAGGTCAACATTTCATCCATTCGCAAATAGGATAAAAGTATAAATATATATTATCATTATTTTAAACCAAACCTTCAAGAGTTTGTTCCTTTAGAAGCTGCTTTAGTTTTTGAAGAAGAATGAGGTATAGGGGGGGGGGTATCTCTTCTTTACCCACTCCCCCCACCCGCTGTGAACTAAAACATGCAAATCAGGATTTTCCCCATTGCTCCTTCAAAAATTCAAAAGTTCAGCAAAAAAATATAAGCTCTATGCAGCTTTACAAGTTTATTTTTGAAAATTTATTTTTAATTTTTCTTCATCAATATCATTCTTGAACTTCATCAAATATAATTAAATAAAGATCATATCTTTTATTTATAAATTCCTGAAAATTTTGTTTTCCATTATTTTTTTAATTTTTGATTTTTCTCACGGTAAATTAAGTATTTTAGTTTCCAACCAACAACCTAATTAACTGCTTAGTTTCCAAACAATTTTTTTGGTGTCCAAAAAACCTATATATAGGCCTGCAGAATAAAGTTATAAATTATACAGAACGAATATCAATGAATAAATGCATGTGTGTCTAAAAATAACTCCCACCCATTTCTTGTGTTGAACCTTATTGGCAGAAACAAATATCAAGAACGGAAGAAAGTCAAGAACGTTTACTTCGGGTCAAAATTTTTTATTAAAAAAATATTGAAATAACTTTTGCTTTTTAACTTTATTTTGAATAAGACAGAGATCAATACAAAATTTGCAATTCCAGCAAAAGGTATATAAGCATTGTGTAGTTCAAAATAAATTTCAAAAGTTTTGTAATGCATCTTTATTTTTCGGACATCTTGGATATATTCAACTTATGTAGTTCAGTGGGAAGAGTGAAGTCAGATGTTGATCTGAGGCTTCTGAGCCTTGAATATAACCTTGAAATATTTGAGGAGATAAATCTTAGAATTATCAACATTCCGTCTCCGTCCTAACCGTCCTAACTCCATATCTAGCCTTATAGTTATATTGGAGCTTAATTCGTCCCACATCTATTTCCTAGCTTAACACTGGAGTTTAATCAGTCATAGATCTAGCATTAACCTGGAGTTTAATCTGTCACAGATTTATATTCTAGGATTATACTTAGTTTAATTTGTCCCAGCTACTTATTCTAGCATTATACTTAGTTTAATCCGTCACAGCTACATATTCTAGCATTATACTTAGTTTAATCCGTCCCAGCTACATATTCTAGCATTATACTTAGTTTAATCCGTCCCAGCTACATATTCTAGCATTATACTTAGTTTAATCCGTCCCAGCTACTTATTCTAGCATTATACTTAGTTTAATCCGTCCCAGCCACTTATTCTAGCATTATACTTAGTTTAATCTGTCCCAGATTCATATTCTAAACATATGCAGGAGTTTACTTTGTCCCAAATATTTACTCTGCTGAACCTGCGCTGAAGTTTAATTTGTCCCAACTATATATTCTGAACCTACGCTGGAGTTTAATTTGTCCCAATTATATACACTAAACCTACGCTAGAGTTTAATTTGTCCCAATTATATACTCTGAACCTGCGCTGGAGTTTAATTCGTCCCAATTATAAATTCTGAACCTGCGCTGGAGTTTAATTTGTCCCAATTATATATTCTAAACCTGTGCTGGAGTTTTATTCCTCCCAATTATATATTCTAAACCTGCACTGGAGTTTAATTTGTCCAAATTACATATTTTGAACCTGCGCTAGAGTTTTATTCGTCCCAACTTTATATTCTGAACCTGCGCTGGGGTTTAATTTTTCCCAATCATTTATTCTGAACCTGCGCTGGAGTTAAATTCGTCCTATCTTCAGTCTGCACTGCACAAATAAAACAGAACCATTGAAGTCTTTTTTTTACAAACCCGTCCATTCAAAGGATGAGCGACACTTTTTATAATCCTGTATCTTGGTCTAGCGGACACCAGGTATTCAGGAACCCTGAGATAAGAACCTGAACCAAACCTACTCCAGGTCTAAATTCCTACGGAGATCTGTATCAGCATATCCGTCCTACTACAGGACTTTTGTCTCCATGGATATATCAAGTCTATCAAGTGCGTCTCAAAAGTTACGAATGAAGTAAGATTGTATTGCAGGATGAGACTGATCACAAGAATATGGTTGAGATTTCAATCCTTCGATTAACCATTCTAAATATACGTTTTATGAAACACACTGTATACATAGTTCTTGAGACATCCTATTAAACACACTGTATACATAGTTCTTGAGACATCCTATTAAACACACTGTATACATAATTCTTGAGACACCCTATTACACAATGTTTTGAAATGCACTTTTTGCTTTAAACATTTGTTTGAATTTATTGATTCGAGATTTTGAATTTAGATTTTACCTGCACCCCTTTTACATTCATCATAATAGTTGTTATTAATAAGTCAAAGATTTAATACAATGTTAATTTTTTAACTTACAAATGCAAAACCTAACACTCCAATATTGATGTGAAAAATACACGACAATGTTTTAAACTCAACCAAGGCCTTTATTGGATATAAATATATTCTCGAGTTTCGAGGACCCAGGATACATTGAGAAACTTTCTTGGAAATAGACTAGCAGACAGGATATCACCACAAACACGTGCAACTAACAAACAAACGGACAGTAAAAAACACACAAATACGCGCAACTAGCAGACAGAATAACACACACTAACACGTGCAACTGCACAAATCATCCCAAACACAGGCATATACACGATTACCCGCAAAGGTGAAGACTTAAAGATGACTGGCATCTCTTTACATATAATTAGATAATTACTTAATTAGATTTGTAAATTCGTCTCGGAGTTCTAATCCATTGTGAGTAACCTATTGTCCATTATCATCAAGAACCCCATGGCTTTTGATAATCAAGTGTATTGCAAATTCTGGGAGAAGCTTTGTTTACGTTCCTCCTAGAAACTGCAGTACACTTTAAATGTCAACAAAGCCATGGGAGGTCCTATACAGAGCGTCCCATTTCATATTGAATTATCTCCAAGTTATGGATAAATACGCACACAACAACCGGAGAACCTAATATTTTCTGAATACAAATTTTCAAATAAGCATTATAGAATTTTAAAATAATTCTCTTTTTAAATCTCCTGATTAGTCCTAAAAATCGCAATTTAGAGGTATAAACGATCTCCTATGGTGTGAAACCATCCTATATCTAATCCTTGCTTTCATATCTCAAATCTTAAAATATTTAGAATTATATATATCAAAGAAAACAACTGACAACAGTTTATTAAATAAATAAATAACACATAAAAGAATTAATACATAAGTAACGTTTCTAAAATAAAAAGTATTGTTATTTCTAATCTTTAGATATAAAATGTGGGAAAAGCTAATTAAGCTAAATAGAAAATATGATTTCAGATGAAACAAGAATGGATTCAGTTTACCAGTAATGTTCAATGACAACGGTTCAAGACTAAGATAATACTCATGAAGAATTGTTTAAGCCGGCTTTAAATTATTTAAAAGTCATGTTTAAATTGCTCAACTCTAAAATGAAATTAGGCAATTCAAAAAAGATATCATTGACATCTTTGTGACTAGAAATATTGCACGTACAGATAATCTTAAAATACCAGAAAGTCTTATACCAATTAAAATGTAACGCTTTCTAATGAAAAATCTAAATAAATAAATAACCTAATATAAATATCATGAATTAAAACTAAACTAGAATTATTAATGCCCATGTTTAGTCATAGAATAAGGTACTTTGATCAGTAAATGCGGGAAACCCGCCATGTACTGTACTTCACAGTACAGCGTACACAGCACAGCGTACACAGTGCACAGTACACTGTACACAGTACACTGTACTGTACATTTAAATAATCCGTTTAATGCCCATTTAAGGAATTATATCATAGTTCAAAAGGTCTCTAATTGTATAACCAGGAGTAGTAAGAAGTTTCGAGGTCTGGAAGTATCCAGAGGTCTGGAAGTATCCAGGGCTGGAAGTATCCAGACATGGGAGTATCCAGGCATGGAAGTATCCAGGCATGGAAGTATCAAGGCATGGAAGTATCCAGGTCTAGAAGTATCCAGGTCTAGAAGTATCCAGGTCTAGAAGTATCCAGGTCTAGAAGTATCCAGGTCTAGAAGTATCCAGAAGTATCCAGGTCTAGAAGTATCCAGGTCTAGAAGTATCCAGGTCTAGAAGTATCCAGGTCTAGCAGTATCCAGGTCTAGCAGTATCCAGGTCTAGCCGTATCCATGTCTAGAAGTATCCAGGTCTAGAAGTATCCTTCTAAAGGTTTGAATACAGAATATTCATAAAGATCTCTACCCCCGTATCCATACAGAAGATAACCCTAGAGAAAAGGATTCAATAACTCAATAGAAAAAAAAGGAAATTGAAATATTTGTGTTAAATTGTGAAAAAGTGTGTAAAAAATGTAAGTGTGTGTTCGCTTTTCTAAAATATGAAAAACAAATGAGAAGCCAGGAATGTATACCGAGAATTCTGTACAAGAGACCGCTTAAAATCGTAGAAACAGGTGAACAGGATTTCCTCTATTATGGTCCTTGATTATCCAGCAACTTTTTTTTAAAAGGACGGGTTTTAGTAGAATATCTCTAACCTTGTACTTTTTGGTCGAATATCTGCAGGAATATGAAACCATACAGCTAGACCACCAAAGATTACAAAATCAAGATTTAACCCGGTCCTTTTTATATCATTCTTCTGTTGTTGTTGTTGTTGTTTCTGCACTGATCCATAGTTGAAAATGGACAATAGACCTGAAAATGGACAATAGACCTGTAAATGGACAATAGACCTGAAAATGGACAATAGACCTGAAAATGGACAATAGACCTGAAAATGGACAATAGACCTGAAAATTGTTTTGAGTTTCGTTGGATTAGGTTCTTAACCAAAGAAGTTCTCATTTGTTACATGAAAACTTTATCAAAACATTGAAATCATCATGGATGTTCCATTTAGTACTTGGTGGATATCCGTAGTCTTCTTGAGGGATGTCGAAAGGATATCCAGAGTCTTCTTAAAGGACATCCAGAGTCTTCTTAGAGGATATTCAGAGTCTTCTTGAAGGATATCCAGAGTCTTCTTGAAGGATATTCAGAGTCTTCTTGAAGGACATCCAGAGCCTTCTTGAAGGATATTCAAAGTCTTCTTGAAGGATATTCAGAGTCTTCTTGAAGGATATTCAGAGTCTTCTTGAAGGATATCCAGAGACTTGTTGAAGGATATTCAGAGTCTTCTTGAAGGACATCCGGATCTTTATGGATATCCATGGCATTCTTAATGGATATCCATGGCATTCTTAATGGATATCCATGATATTCTTAATGGATATCCATGATATTCTTAATGGATATCCATGATATTCTTAATGGATATCCATGATATTCTTATTAAACATAAGTTTATTTGTAAATATGAAAACAGAGAGGCTCATTAAACATAAGTTTATTTGTAAATATGAAAAATTTGTCAGATCAAGGAACTTGAAAGAAAAAAAATAATTAAGAACACACTAAATTTCAGTTTTTCTTTTAAAAAATCCCCTCCTCGTAATTACAAACTCCCTCCATCTATTCCATGTTTTTAACCGACATTTTCCCCATGTTTAAAGAATAGAAGATATGTGTATATAGTTAAGATAAAATATACAGAACATATGGATTCAAGTTCATGGTTAAGGATAACAGTATGTGTCTCTTATAGTGAAGAATGCGTAATTTAACAATCTCCCCCCCCCCCTCCTCTCCTTTATAAAAGTAAATTTTCAAAAAACACTAGCTCTCGATCTAATAAAATGTTCACGTATCAAATAGAATTTAAAATAAATGAGAATATTCACGACACTCGGTATACAAGGCCACAGATGAAAGAATCCGAATGAAACTGATCCAAGATTATACTAGTTTAAACATCTCACATGATAACGCTCAAGGGAAAACAGGTTTATCAATCCTGTTCCTGTTATCACGTCTTAAGAAAATAGGACCTTTGGATTTTTTCTATAAAAGTTTTAATTGAAATCTTTTGAATTGCTGAATCAATGGGATTATGCAATATCAGTTTCAAACAACGTAAAAACACGACAACCTTCTTTTCAACAATTTAGATTAATAGAAATAGCGTTGATTGAAATTCTTTCATGGTTTAAATATCAGTTTCATATTATTATCTATACTGCACGATTGAGGATTTCAAATAAATTTTAGCATAAATAGAATCTCCTACCCCTTTTACAGACATGAGATTACAGCCCAGGATCTGGGCTGTAATTATACCAGAGAACGAATTTTCAAAGATGTGGGAGCCCCCTGGGCGCCCCCCCCCCCTTCTCTAAAACCTTAAACAATGATATGAAAAAGTTAAGTATCGTCTGCTAACAATGATATTCGATTTCAAGTATATTCAACCTGAACGGAAAAGTGCTTCCTCATTTAACCAACTTAGGTTAATAAAAGTCGTATATGTATAAAAAAATATCTAAATAAAATGAACTATTGATAAAACACGGATATGTACAGAAAAAATAAATTTAATTGAACATGAATGCGCCGATGCATAAAAAAAGACAAATTTAAGTTGTAACAGGGGAGGAGAGGGAATGAGAAAAGGTCTCTGATATCAATCTAACAAAATTCCAATCGTTTCGAATAGTCATGAAATTCTATGCTCTAAAATAAACATGGCCGTATGTCAACATTAAATTTCTAAAGAAAGAGAAAATGAGCGTTCAAGGAATTAGAAAACCAGGGATTCAAGTGTCAGGTGCTTTTTGCATTATTCAAGGCTATCTTGACACTTCTTCCTTGCTGATATAATGCCTGAAATAAACCGCATGAATGCCTATTTGACGTTAATGTGTGTGTGTGAGAGACGTGCTTGCAATATATGTGTACAATGGTGTACATTGACCAATGTACATGAACAAACATTGTAATTGACAGTACGAGTTGTGTAAAATTAAATTTAGTAAATAAATTGATTTAAAAATTGAAATTAATTGAATCCTTTCCTTTCCGGAAGTATCATAATACGGATACCGGAACTGTGGCCGGCTGTAGTAGGAATTAGGAAGAATACCGCCGATCAGGCGAGACAACCCACCGCCAAGCTCTGTCTCATGAGCCGGCCGGACCGCCGAACTATATGGTTTCAGCGGTTCACCTAGTTTGGTCGGTTGGCCGGAAACTCGCCGGTTTTGCTCCGGAAGGGATCGGGCGAGAAGTTCCGGAGACCGGAACTCAAGAGTCCGCTCGAGGTCGTCCACCCTCCTGTCGGAGGTTATGTACATCTCTCTTGGGAGGGGCTGCTTCTCCTTCACAACAGCTCGGTATTCTATCTCTGAAACAAATCTAGATCATTCAGAGATTCTGTGGTGGAAACTAATAAATACCCTAAGATGGGAACTAATGTATGATAGGATGTGGTTAGGATGTGGTTAAACTAGCCACATCTAGTTAAACTGCATTCAGCACAGAAGAGATTAACTTGAACCAGCGTAGAAGAATAAGTTTAACTTCTTCTCGCTATTCATAAATCGACCACAGATATAAAAGCTATTTTCCAGCGTGTTTTCCATCATTGAAATGTAAATTATTTTAGACAGATGAAAGATTAATATTAACAGATTTCCTTTTAGATTGAGGATTTAGAGGACAGATCAAAATTTGACATAATTCTTCACGGTCCGGACATATTCAGCTGTATAATCAGTTCCGCGTGAATTAAGGTAAAGTACATTTAAAACAACAAGAGGGGTCCAGTCTTCCGAGGGGGGGGGGTGGTCGTGAAGAGGGTAATCAACAAATACAATTTAGTGTCAAAACATTTCTAAACGAACTATTAAGCGAGGTTCTTAATGATGATTTTAGACTCTTCTGAATTCGGAGTAAATTGAAAATTTAATAAGTACCCGGCTGTTGATATCCTCGTCCGGTGGCAATTGATAGCAGAGTATCCATCCAACCCCCTTTCTTCCCTTCTCGAGGGGGCAGTTGCGCCCCCTTTTCTTGGAGGGGGGTTTGCACCCCGTGTCCCCCCTGGGTCTCGACAACTCCGAGCACGAGGTTGGATACGGTTAGAACTAAGAGAAGGACTGGTGGAAGAAACATGTTATCTTGATTCAACAAACAGTTTAAACCTAGAAAAGGTGAAAATATAAATCATAAAAATATCTGAAAATCCAGAAACTATTCTAAACCTTAATGGAAATTTGTTGGGTTAAAAAATCATTTTTTAAGGAGAATATATTTAGTCCTGAGCTAATGTAAATATTTACATAAATCTAAGTAAATCCAAACTAAACGCTTTAAAGATAAGCTTTTGTCTCAAACAGTTTAAACTTTTCAAAATTAATTTCAGTTATCAGAAGATAATTTTAATTTTAATGTTTGGAATATTAATTGTTATCACGAAGTATGCACAATCAGTCCCTAAAGCAAGCTTTAAGGAGTCAGATTTGCAAAGTACAAAGCTATAAATTTATTCAAGACGTTAACTAAACAATTCCAACAACAATACATGGTCAAGTTTAAAATTTAAATTCTTTATTTTAAACGTATACACTTAACAGCCTCCAGGACTCCCTGGCTTCACGAAGATATAAGACAATATAAAATTCAAACTAACAAAATTATAAAAAATAAGGACCCGGCGTTGCCCATGGAATCTACAAAAATCCTCCAACCAACAGAAATCTACCTTTTGAGCCACCTATCACATGTTAAATATATAATATGATAATGTATATAATTTGATTTTGAAATGAACAGAACCCCCAGATTGTATTTAAGAATAAAAGGAATAGTGAGAATTAGGAGCAGAGGCGTAGTCAAGTGAGGGGGCTATGGGAGCTCAGCACCCTCCTCCCTGGACCAGTGAAATCTATACTTTCAGGGGGTTTTCGGCCCCAACGTTTGCTGAGCCCCCGCCCTGGAATGAAAAAAGTTAAGCCCCCCCCCCCCTCTCCATGGACAAATTCCTGACTACGCCCCTGATTAGGAGTTCAGGATATTTATTTATCTACGGTATAATATACCAAGATAAATAAATATAATTTAAAGGAGAATTAGAAGAAAAAAGAATCAGTAGTGAGAATTGGAAATACTATGAGAATTAGAAATTAAATAAAAATAAGATATAGAAAGTCAATGAGAATTAAAATCAATTCGGATGAGAATTGAAATACAATGAGAATTCGAGGTTCGATACAATTAGGATTTCAAAAAATTAGAAGTTGAAAAAGAATTACATCAGTAAGAATAAGAATGAGACTTGCTATAACGATAAGAAGTTCAATGAGAATTAGATGTCCAGTTAGAATTAGAAGTTCAATAAGGGTAAGAAGTGGAATGAGATTTAGTGACATTTTTCAATTCAATCAGAATTAGAAGTTCAATAAGAATTAGAAGTTCAATAAGAATTAGAAGTTCAATAAGAATTCGAAGTTCAATAAGAATTAGAAGTTCAATGAGAATTCGAAGTTCAATGAGGGTTAGACATTCAATAAGAATTAGGTGTCAAGTGAGAATTAGAAGTAAAATTAACGAGAATTAGAAGTTCAACGATAATTAGATTTCTAGTGGGAATTACAAGTTCAAAAAAGAATTAAAAGTTCAATTAGAATTAAAGGTTCAATGCGAATTCGAAGTTCTATGAGGGTTAGGAATTCAATTAGAAGTAGGTATTAGGGGAGAAATAGAAGTTACATGAATGAGAATATGTAGTGAATGTGTGAATGTAGTGTATATGTTAACATCAAGTTGTGCCTGTCGAAGCGATACAAAAATTTGCAAAAGCAATTCTATTGTTGTCTGTCGTCTTTTTGTCTGTTTGTGTCCAATAAAAGTCAAAAAGGCCGAACCGATCGGGACCAAAATTTTAGAGTCAACTAACATGACCCCAGAGCCCGAAATTTAAAAGGGTATCGTTGAACGAAACTCTCGAGTTTCCTTGTTGGAATCTTAACATATTGTAGATTTTGATTTAAGAGATTCGACAAAAATGGAGAATATGAAGAAACTAAATAAAATAATATTTCATAACAAAAATATTGATATCCACAAAACTGCCTAACCCAATTCGTAAAACCCGGGTTTTAAAACTGATTTTCATACAATATACCCTGTCTTAAGTTTTGGGCTCAGGGAAGGTTTAAGGATACTCAGAATAGCAAAAAGGTGTTAAAATCGTACACTTGTAAAAATCCACGAAAAAACTAATCCTCGAAATTAATTGAAATTGTTTTACGAGGAGAACATGTTCAAAGATAGTCACAATTAAAAGTTGAAATATGAGATGGGCGCAGCCTATTATATTACAACCAATTAAAAAGAAATAATATAGAAGATTAATTAACTTATAAAACATTACAAACCTGTCCAAGGTTTAATTCAGCTTCTGACGAATTCTGATTTTTTAACTAAATGGTAAGCACACATATATTTGTTTATTTACATATTCACTATGTACATGTAGTGTACTGCATGTTCTCATTGTTATATCACTATGTACTCTGATCACTTGTTTGTACAGTGTCGGTAGGGCGTGTACTGAGAAAGGTTTGAACTGAAGGTTTGAATTGAATTCATATTCAGACGAACATCCATGTTGAATCTTGATGTTTCCGGGTTTAGCTCCAGTCTGCAGGATCCTTAAACTCTCCAGGCGTTAACATTTCTCACTCCTGGTTCCTAGTTGACTCAGGCGCACTGAATTTTGCAGCAACAGGCGCGTCAGTATCCTACCGTTCAGATCTCCGGCTTAAACTTTTCCACACTGTTTAAAGTTGGTCCCTTTAAGAGGGTGTTAACCCTTATACCCCCTTCAGGAGTTAGGACGTAATACATAAACCCCTGAGCCCCTGGGACGAGGGGCTAGGAGTGACTAGACTAGGATAAGCTCAGGCTGGTGGTGGTGAGTAAACTAAACTAACTTAAACCTCTACACTGTACACGTGTGTGGGTTCTTTGACTCTAGCTCAAGGTCAGGTATAGAACTGGGAGAACTAGGACCTGGAGCAGAACCGGCCCTGAACACAGGTTCCAGCATTCTTGGGCTTTGGTTGGGCGGAGTTACAAGTTCAAAGACCTGAAATAATCCCTGTTCCCCTCTGTTTGAATTTGCAGACTTGGCAGACCATATTCATGTTGCAGATGCATCAAAGGAAGCTGTCCCAAAGTACACCACACTGCCTACATCGAGTCTGTTGCAACTTTTTATTTTGTTGTAGATTTTTTATGTACATATCACGTTTATACAGTATTTCAATGCTTTTTGGCCTTTTCCCGACACACTCTCTTTATCAATTAAATCATGCACGAAATATTTTTATTTTAATAATTTATTTTTCACGAAATATGAAATTTTACTTAATATGAAAAATATGTTTTTCATTTCGAATTTTGTATTTAAAAATGAAACTGAAGTCAAATTTTTGAGATATCCTGTTACAGACATTTTTCTCAAGTTGGTTCTTTCTATCCTCTCTAAAAGAGAAATATCTGATTAAGATTTTTAAAAATAAATTTTAATTATATATATACAAGGTAAGCCACGAAAGATGTGACTGTAAATACTACTTAAAACTCTTGAAATAGGATTATCGGCCCCAGATACAATAATTTATCAGGGGTGATCGGAGCCAGGCGTAGCGCAAAATTTTTTTCCCTGATCACTCCTTTGGGAAGAATTTAAATCAAAATTTTCCAGTTTTCTGTGTCACGTTTTTTTCTCATAAGCTTCACCCTCAGGGGTGAGCAATCGATCCATGACTCAAGAAGAAAAAAGCTAGCTTTTCGTAGGAAATCATGATTATAAGAAAACAGACAGTAAGAATTCCGTACAGTCGTCTCTGAAGTTTCAACATTTCAATTTATATAACTGTAAACGTGATTTCAATTTAAAGGGATTGTAACCGTGATTTCAATTTAAAGGGACTGTAAGCGTTATTTCAATTTCAAGGGACTGTAAGTGTGATTTCAATTTAAAGGGACTGTAACTGTGATTTTGATTTAGAGGGAATGTAACCGTGATTTAAATTTAAAGGGACTGTAAGCGTGATTTTAATTTAAAGGAAATGTAAGCATGATTTCAATTTAAAGGGACTGTAACCGTGATTTCAATTTAAAGGAACTGTGACCGTGTTTTCAATTAACCAGCTTGCATAGATGAAAATGCCCGATTCACCACGGTACCCTTAAAACCTTTTTCTGATCAAGTATACATGATTAGATATATCTTAAACTAAAATTTTGAAAACTGATTATTTTCAATTGTGGGATGCATTTCTACTGCAAGAAAGAATATAGGAATTAAACACTTTAAACGTAAAGTAAACTTCCACATTATAGATCAGATAAAGGTTTTAAGATACCGTTCTGAACCAAGCAGTCCAATCTTTTCACGGAGGGTCACTTGAAATTACGCTTACAGACCCTTTTTTCGAAATTATTTTCTTTGGATCCTGGATCGAACTGAACCTAGCTTGGCAATTTGGAATTGAATATTTTCACTTATAACGGGGATTCCCTATATTAAAGCCTGCTACCATGCTGCACATTATGTTAGACAAAATTACGACATGGGGGGGGGGGGTTCTG